CTATGTAACCAGGTCTTCTGTCCAAGTCCTCTTCAGTCTTCGTTCCTCCATTGATGGCTGATATAATTCACTGATAATTTGGCTGCGGTGCGTTGAATTAAGAATTTTGGCCTTGTTGGCTTAAAGTGATGTCATCTGGTGGGTACTCCGTAAGTCCAAATGCAACCCAAGATATTTCACAACGTCTTTAGCAGGAATAGGGGCATTGTTTAGACTGACTTGTGAACAAGTACGTCTTCTTATTGTAAATGCAATTTGGGCTGATTTTTCGTTATTGGCTTTTATTTCCAATTTGTCAACCAATTCTCTAATGTATGCAAGTAATTTTGCAGCTTTTCAGATGCTATGTTTGGGTCTTCGTTTAAAACTAATACGGCTGTACCATCGGCAAAAGTCGCCACTGTGATGTTATCTGTAATATGTATGTCAGCAGTAAAAAAATTGGGTATGGGAAGGGACGAGGACACTTTTCTGAGTACTTTCGAATTTCATTGAGTAAAAGGTTGAGAAATTATTAATGATTTTTAATTATAAAGACCCACAAATAATTGTCGTATTACTCATAATGATGATGACGTTAATCGTTCCTCATTGAGTAACAATTCATTATATACTTAGAATGTCACTAATATTGACAGCAGTAGACTTTTTACTCGATTTAAACTTGTGTTTTTATGTCTAGCTTTATGTTAACTGTAAGATATAAAAAGCTCTTTTGAAGTCCGTGAATACGGCCCATGTTTATTTTTTTATTTACGTGAATAATATTAATCTTATTTTAAGGTACGACGGTTGCCACTATTACTGGATCCCACTTGGTGTGGACGTCACCCGTTATCCCAAAAATTACCTCAAACGTTTCTGATGACAATCCTTTAGGAAGAATGGCAACAACCTACGAAATATCGATGATTGCTGGTTTTCCACCATTAGCATCTCTTGCAGGATCTTTATTTCTGGGGCAATTGGCAGATGTATTCGGAAGAAAAAGGTCTATACTGATCATGGTTGTGGGAGATATTGCAGCAGTTGTTTGCTTGGCATTTAGTACCAATGTGTATTGTATAGTCGTATTTCGTTGTGTAATATTTATGTTTTTTAACGGAGCTTTAACTGTCTTACCTGTTTATTTGACAGAAATTTGCGAAGATCACAACAGAGCTAGGTACGGTTGTTTGATGGGTGGTATGCTACCTTTAGGCAGCCTTTTCGGCTACGTAGTAGGGTCATTTTTTCACCATCAGAGTATTTACTTTATTAACACTAAGTCCATTATTACTTTTTATTTTCTTTTGCGTATGTGCCCCCGAGTCTCCAATCTATTCCTTATCTAGGGGAAGAAGAAAAGAATGCTTAAGAGCTCTTAGAAAGTTAAGAAGCAATAAAAATGATAAAGAAATTGAGGGCGATATGTACCAAATAGAGAAAGCTTTAAAACTTCAAGCAAATTCTTGCTCTGGTAATATATTTACCTTATTCTCAACAAAAGAAAAGAGGTACGCAACGCTTTTAGCATTCATTCCCCCCATGATAACTGTTCTTTCAGGAGTTGCTATTTTGATCCAATTTATGGCACCCATATTTATTGCAGCTGGCACAAAATATAACAGTAATCATTTGGCAATAGTAGTTGGTTCTATAAAAGTCATTAGTTTTATAATTCTTTCTTTTATTGTCGAAAAAACTGGAAGAAGGCCCATGCTTCTTATCTCTACAATAGGATGTTCTATACCACTTATCATGTTGGGTGGATTTTTCTACCTCAAGCACCTTAATTCTCCATTAATTGCTTCACTCCAGTGGCTACCTTTGACCAGCATAGTGACTTTCATGATTACTTACTCCCTAGGAATTGGTCCAATTCCAACGGCCATCATGGGAGAACTTTTCACTCCAGATGTTAGAGCCGCAGGTGCATCATTTATTATGACAGTAATGAGTACATGCCTTTTTTGCGCCACGACTAGTTTTCCAATCATTAACGAGTTCCTAGGCTTGCATTGGTGTATGTGGATGTACAGCGTGTTTTGTCTAGTTGGGGCAACATTTATTTATTTTATGATTCCGGAAACTAAAGGAAAATCTGTTGTAGAAATACAAGAATATATTAAAAGCTGTGTAAATAAATAAATACTTATATTTCAGTGTTTTATTTTTAATATATTTTGTTCCTGAGAAAGACGTGTATTATACAGTTAAGTACAAACTTCCAGTGTAATAGGTCATCATCATTCAGCCCCATTTTCACATCCATTGTTGGATATAGGCCTCCTACTAAACGTCTCCAGTTCTCTCTATCTTTAGCTGCTGCAATCCAGTTTGTTTCTATTTTCCTTAGTTCGTCGGTCCATCGTGTGGGTGGTCTGCATCGACTTCGCTTGTCGGCTCTTGGTCTCCACTCCAATAATCTCTTCGTCAATCTTCCGTCTTCCATTCTAGCAACATGTCCAGCCCACCTCCACTTTTGTTTATTGATTCGCAGTATAATATCGTCTACGCCAGTTCGTCGGCGTTTCTCCTCATTTCTCACGCGATCTTTCAAGGTCAGGCCAGCATTGATCTCTCCATTCGCCTTTGTGTTACCCTCAGTTTTTCGGCAGTAGCTTTCGTTAACGTTAGGGTCTCTGCTCCATAGTTAAGACTGGTAAGATGCATTGGTTAAATGCCTTCCTTTTCAGGTGAATTGGGATATTTGTTTTAAAAATGTCTCTCATTCTTCCATATGCCGCCCATTCCAACGTGATTCGTCTATTTAGCTCGCAGGTTTGGTTGTCTCTGGGTATTTTAATTTCATGACCCAAGTATGTGTATTTATCGATTAATTCGATCTTGTTGTTATTAATCTGTATCTCTTCGCTGGGAACCATATTGGTCATCATTTTGGTTTTCTCGAAATTTATCGCCAGGTAATAGGTATATGGTTAATAAAACATTAAAATTAAACATTAATAAATATAATTAAAAGATTAAAATGTTTTTGGTCTAATTCAAACCAACTTCAGTGAACATAAAAAGTATGTAATCCTAAGTAAAGTAACCTACTAACGCATGTCCCTAAAGATTTCGGAAAAAATAAATATGTATTTTCTGATTGTAAATTAAGTTTATTATATTAACTGAATACAGTAAATTAAGTGTACATATTTAAGGGTTATAATGTATTTTTATAGAATAGAAAGAGGTCCGTGATCTTAATTGGCACGTAAATTTGGTCTTGCATGTGCAATAAGCCTTTGGACTGTTTCTAAGTCCCCTCACGAATTTTTTGCAAAATTCGTTGCCTTAGCTGATCTTCATTTTGGGCTTCTCACCCTTTATTACACACAATTCGACTTAAAGACAGCCCAAAACTCTTTTATAGGCCTCACCTGAGGCACATTTGGAGGATTGTCGCGCTTGGGAACAAAATTTATATTTTGAGCAGTTAACCAATCTGTCGTTCTCCTGGCGTAATGGCACAACACTAGGTCGGGCCCAAATATGATTTCGTCATTGGGCTGATGAGTATTTATAAATTGAACAAGCTTTGTAAGACACCTGTCAACGTAATTGTCAGCATTGAGAGCTTTACCGGGAACACGCCGAACAAACGGCTTTGAAACACCAGCTTCTGCGATGGGACACCATACCAAAGTTTTATCGGCATATTTCAATTTTCCCTTAAACCTAACTTTGTCCAGTGCATCTTGTACATTGCATATATAAAAGCCCCATCGTTGCCCTTCATTTCCGAATTGAGATAAAGTAAAATACTTTTTATCATCAGTAATGAGAATTACTAGAAAAATGAATACTTCTCAATACACCGCAACATCAAGGATTTTTTTAAACTGGGCTGGTGTAGTCAGTAGCTTTTTTTCTTTAATATCGATTTAAATTATTTTTAGAAACTGTTCTACTTACAGTCATTGGTGAAACATTATATCTTCGGCCAACATTTCTCAAAGACTTGCCTAATTGGTTCTCCATACCCTGAATTATTCTCTGTTTCCGAGCAGGAATTAAAACTCTTGGTCTTTCACTTTTGGGCATGGTATATAATTTTCGCACCATTTAGTTGTCTGGTAAATCGTTGACACAAAAATGTTTTGAGCACTAAAAATTCTTACAATATCGCGTTTTGGTATATGTCCAACTAAACCATAAATACTTTGACGAATATTAAGTTTGTACAACATTTTAACGAACCGTATTTGTCAAAACTGACATTGTTTATATCGTTTAAGTTGTTTACTAACTTTGATTTCCAATGGAAATTTGATCCAATGCTTCCTACCAATAATACATGTAAATCTAAAATTTTTCGAAAACTTTAGGGATATAAATTATATTAAGTGAAGTAAAATGATATTAACGGAAAAAAATGTAATTATTTTTAAATCAATTTCCATAAGTGAACCTCAGTGAAAACGTAAGGGTTTAAACTGACATAAAACTGCATCTTTTAAGTACAGTATTACAGTAAATGGAATTTACGTGCCAATTTGTAAATCAGCCCTAATGTCATTGTACCAAATAGGCAGAAAGCCAACACCAGATAAAAATGGTTTGTCAGCGCCGGAGTTAAACTAACGGGGTAAGCATAACAACAGGCCTACTAAACTTGATTCAGATGTAAAAAATATGTTACGGAACATATTGCTTCGTTTCCTGCTGAGTTGTCTTATTATTCTAGAGCCAACAATCCAAACAAAAAATACTTATCACCGTTGTTGTCTGTACCTAAAATGTACAAACTTTACATTGAACAATCCAGACTAGACCAAGTTTTAGACGAATTCTTATTAAAAGAGTCCATGTACAGATTTATTTATGATTACGAGTTCAATTTATCCATTGGACAACCTAAGAGTGATACATGTAGTACATGTAATAGTGGACAATGTTCAGAAGAACATATTGATTTTTATAAATCTGCATTTGAGGCTCAAAAAGCTGACAGGCAAAGTGCCAATGTGTTGAACGATGTTGCATATGTCACTATGGATCTGCAACAGACTATGCCATTGCCTCGTTTGTCCACATCAAAAACTTTTTATAAAAGGCAAATGTGATTTTACAATCTCAGCCTGCATATAATTTCAAAAAATGTAGTCAGGGGCCTATTTTTTACCTGGACAGAAGACCTAGCAAATCATAGCAGTACAGAAGTTGCAAATTCACTGTTGAGTGCGGTTGAAAGTGATAGAACACTTTGAGAAAAAAATCATCTGCAAGTGTGGTCCGACTCTTGTGCCGGACAAAATAAGAATTTCCAGATTATTTGTCTGTACCAGTACATGATTTTGAAAGGGTGCTTCAAAACTATAGACCATAAATTTCCAGAGGTGGACCACTCTTACCTAGACTCAGATCGTGACTTTGGTCACATCGAAAGGAATCTACGGAAACAGCCTAATTTATTCTTACCAAATGAATATCGACATATAATACTGCAAACAACCAAGGGAAACCAGGTTATAAATATACCCATTTAATAATACCATCTCTAAAACTAGTAAACCGGAATCTTCTTGGAAACACTGTTCAATTTAGAGATGGCATTAAATGGATAAGGGTACATTAATTTGGTAGTTATCTGTTTAAATATAGCTATGACCCCAATATGCCGTTCAAGAAAGTGAATATTCGACATTATAGGTCTACCAATAAGACAAATAAAATGATGTGTGTTATATTCCCAAACTTTCTACTTCCAAGAATAAACAAGAAGATTGGCAGTTTGTCTGCAGAGAAAAAAGAAGACATCAAGCAGTTATTGCCATATGTACCCCTTAAACATAGATGGTATTACGAAGCAATTTTGCAGGGCAATTAAAAGGGTAGCGTCCTACATGTTTGTAGAACATTTTTGCATTGACTAACAGAATGTTATATTGATTTATTTTAAATAAAATATAGCTCTAATTTGTGACTTTGGCTTGTTTTCTGATCTACACATAGCACTATATACTTGTTTTCATATATCCTACATCCTAATAGGTTGGTGGACAAAGGTGCTATGTACATATTTGAATTTTTTTTAAGGGTTAAATGTATATTTTAAAAAAAAATTACTCACGAGAACTTTTATTATCCAAAAGATTCTAGATTAAAAATTTGAGTTTTTTTTAACAGGTTCTTGTAAAAATGCAACCAAAAAAACTTTAACCTAGATTATCTCATTTTCAGTTATTTGTAACATAGCACCTTGACCTTCCAAGCCCTTCAATTGTAATTAGTTAATATTAGGAATATGTTGTAAAAAAAATGCCCTAAGCCTTAACGGCCTGTTGTGCGCAAAACTTAATAAATAAACATATTACATATTAAAAATTATAAATTGAAACTTGTTCCAAACTTTCTGGGAAAACTATGGCCCCTACTCGTAACTATTTCTGCATCTGGGTTTGAATTTTATTTTATATAAAATTGAATTTTATTTTGGACTGCTTATGATCTAAAGTAACCAACAAAATAACTTTTCTTGGTTTAAGTGTAAAATATAACAACAATAACCGACTAATAAAAAAGATGGTTTGTCCGGAAGATATCTAAACTTTAATACCAACGCACCTATAACTCATAAAAGATATGTTGTATTCAGTCTTACTTATAGAGTAATTGAAATATCTACCCCAAAATACCATACCGAAAATATGAAAGAAGTTAAAGATATCTCTGAAAAAAATACTTATTCACCAGAATTTCTTAGCCATCTTTTAAAAAAAAAAGTTGCATGATCAGAAATTAATCTAATGCCGGTGATAGTCCAAAACAAACCCTAACCATACTTGGCATATAATATAGTAATGTCACTAAATCAAACAAACACTATATATATACTGACCATACATTAATAGATTCTCTAAATAAATGTTGGCAAAAATGACACCCATGTTGAACAAACATATTCGGAAAATATTTTTTAAAATTCACACCCATTTTTAATAAAGATGTTATTTATAAAATAA